TTAAAAAAAATTATTTATTTATTTTTAGAAAGAGGGAATGGAAGGGAGAAAGAGGGAGAAAAACATCCATGTGTGAGAGAAACATGGCTTGCAAGCCCTCCACAACCACACCAGGCAGGACAAAGTTAAGAGTTCTTATAGTGAAAAATGCATTCCTGAGAAGAATCAGTCCTGGATTCGGGGCCCTAGGATTGGCAGCAGGATGGTTATCAGTCAAATGTCAGGTGGTATGGAAAATGGATGACAGGTCATCTGGAAGATGGCACCTGAAAGTCTTTTTATGTCTGGTGGTGTGGATGATGGGAGTCACATAGATGTCAGGTGGACAGGATATGTGAGTCCTTCAGGGAGTAACCAGAGAGTTATCTGGAGTTTTGACATGATATTGAGGCAGGGCTGGAAAGTTCAAAATTTAAGTTCCTAGGCCAGTTAAAACAAGTATATAATAATTTTCTCATGCCTCATTCTACTCAATTTTAGTAAGTTAGCAGCTTGCCTATAGTGACTCCATCTTATTTCTTCATTCTGTTCCTCAATGAATATTTTTACTTAGTTCTTTTTTGTGATATTTTGTTCCTATTTCATATTGCTAATATCTTCTTTTATTAACTCTTTATCTCCTATTCATGGAACATTTTTAGTTCTAATGCTTCTGTTCTAATGCTTCTCTTCAGATGATACGTGGCTCTGTGTATAGCTGTTGTCCTCTGCTGCCTGGTTATTTGGCTTGTGAGCTTGTTTTCTCTTGGGGCCACAACCAGCATGTCTCATAACGTGCAATGGGGGAGGGCTGAGGCTAGACTCAGTTTATGTTGAAATCAATGATTTAGAGTTGAGAATCTAGGAACCATGAAACCCTGAATGAATCATTGTTTGATGCCAATCCACTGGTCACTTGTTTGCCTGGGTTTTAACTTTTAAACCTTTAGAAGGAAATGATGATGTAATTCACGACTATGGTGATTTGGTTGGGAGCATGGTGGAGTGAGCCCAAGGGCTGACAGCCTGTGTTTATTTCAATGAACTCTCCCCTATTCCTCAGAAGGGCTTTTGTGTTACTAGTAATGACAAACATTGCCATGGCACTATTACTGCCCACTTCTGTACTCAAGGGCCAGGCCATTGACCATCTGTCCCAAGGCACCTTGAGGGAGAGACAAGACTAGAAGGTAAAAAGTTCACCTAGTTTGCTCTGCTGCCCAAGGCTACAGCCACCAGTACTCCCACCCCACACCAATTCCAGTAGTCTTCTGTCTGGAGGCAGCAGGGGTGGGGGTGATTCCTCAATTTCCCCCCTTGATTTTAAGAATCTCTCACTGTCTACTACTTCTTCAGGGTTGATCTTGGGAGAGGGTATCAGTGACTTCAGCTAGTCAGCCATCAGGGCAGGGGTCCTGTCAGTGTCTTCAACTGTAAAATGGGCATAATTGTTATCTCAAAGTGATGCTGAGGATTTTGGATATTTTATATCAATGTCTGTAACAATATATTTGAAAAGTATTGGATTCTTTTTACTTTCAAAGACCTCAGTCCCAACCTTTATTCTCAACGAGGGAGGAGTATGCAGGCAGATATGACAGTTGGCTAATTTGATGAGCAGTTTTAGCCTAATGACACTGCTCTTTGCCAGTTGTTGTTTACATTGAGTGCTGAGCTCCCAGTGAGGTACTTAGCAACTTTTCTTACTGACTAAAACATGTTAGCACATACAGAAATCAGTCCCAAGCCTCATAAAATCAGGGTTGAACAGTTTGATTGATAAATTTTCTCTAAAACTCTTGCTACTCAAAGTGGTCTGCAGATCAGCAATCTTAACATCACCAAGCAGCCTGCTAGACAGCAGAATCTTGGACCTGCTCCACACTGAATGAATCAGAAACTGTATTTTCACCAGATCTCACCTGATCCACCTGCATGGTTAAGTTTGAGAAGTGCAAGATGCATCACTGGCAACTATCAAGCTTCCAGGAAAACTATACTCTTGCTTAATGTGTTATCATGTACAAAGTTGCTTTACTAGATGATTTCACTGAAATTTACCATTCCATTTCATCCCAGCCACAATGTAAAATTATTCATACTCTTTTTAATAATAAAACTGAGGTCCAGGAAGATGGCTACTTGTCTAAAACCCTGTGGCTAGACCTAGGTTAAAGCCTACACTTTTTTCAGTGAGTAGTGTAATACTTTTTGATTACTAATAATATGCTATTAATATGCCCAATATTATCATTAGTATGCATAGTGATTTAAGGTAATAATTATGCTTCATTCTCACATGTGTTGGAGACAAATATAATGAACCAAGCTTGGTTTTTTAGTTACTCTTGCTTAGAACGATTTTTTTTGTCTATTCAGGTACAGTATAGACATGACTGAAGTTGTGACAGTTGTTTCTACATACCTGTTTAGCCAACACTTCCCCACTTTACACTAAAGGTGACATTCCTCTCTTTCATTCATAACAGTGTCAGGATTTCAATTTTAGTGGCAATTGTAACTAATTTTTATTTACTAGGAACATCCTGTGCAACATGTTGGCACAAAGAAAAAGTTCTCGCATGACTATTTCCCTGAACAGTATTAGTATGCCAAAGATATTTTCCCTAATCCAACTTCATGATAACACAAACAGAAACAAGGCAATCATTATACTCAATCCTATTAAGAAAGCTTAGGAATCATCTTAAAATGTTTGATGATAGAAATTGCAAACACAGTATTTTGAATAGGATTTTCAAGTGTCCACTGTGTAATCAAAGTATAGCTCTCCTCTTCATAAAGAGAAATGTGAAATGACAACTGTACACTCATTATCCAACCTCGGTGAAGAGGGAACAGTGATTCCCAATTTGATGTGGACAAGTGACCTTGCAGAGAGAAGGGTCTCACAGACTTCAAATGTATTACTCAGCTGCCCTACTGGCTTTTTTTTTTTTCCTCCCTCCCTCCCTCCCTCCTTCCCTTTTTTTTTTTTTTGTCTGTGCTGGTAAGGGGAGGATAAATGATACAACTCATGGTGCTAAACTAAGAGCCTTTGATTAACAAGGCTCCAGGAAGGGCTGGGGCAAAGATAAAAATATGATTGCACTGTGTACTCTAACCTCAACAGCAGACTCTCCATGTAAATACATACAGGCTCTCAGATGGCAAGCTGTTTTGCTAAAGAACTCTTTAGCAATTTATTTAACCTTTTAAATGGAATATAACCTCTTAAACCCAAAACTTGTTTTAAGACCATGGTTTATAAAACACATTTAGACTTGGATTCCATAGTCATAAATATTTTCAATGTAGGAAAGTGTTAGTTTATAAATCTGGCCTGCTTTTACTTAAGTTGTGAGGTCACTAGTTGCCCCCCTTCCCCCACCCAACGGTCCTTTTTTGTTCTTATAAACTATACATGCTCTATACATGCTCTTGACAGTTTGGGGACGAGCTGGGTAAAGTTCAGCTTGGCCTCCATGGCTGCTTCCACCAAAATGCCTTTGGCCTTTTCTTATCCAAACTCAACATAAAGATGTTTCTCCTAAATCGCCACTATGACTGCAATTCAAAGCCATGATGTCTCCATTTTTCTGTTTTTTGCTTCACAGACTTACTTCTCAGCTCCTGGGCTGTGGGGGAGGGGAGAAACACAAGATGCAGTCACTCTGGCCTCTCTCTGTGGTGTTACTGCACCTTGATGGGATGCAGTGTCTGTAAAATAAATCACTGGCACCATTTGTCCAACAAGATCATTTTTTTTGCTGTAAGCCATATACCCAAAATAAGATTACAGAATTTTCTACTTTTGGCATTAAAAAGTCAGAATAGTCTCACTTGCAGCATAGATTGCATGATACGCTAAATGAATTGTTAATGGAAACTAGAGGACAGTCCCATAATAAAAGGAGACACTCGTGCCCACTTGGGGGTCAGTGTGCGTGGAGAAGTTAAGTGGGCTGTGGGCAGCTTTATAAATGTACTGAGGAGTATACAAACCACGACCAGGGCATTCTGCATTTATTGGTGAAAAAAAATCCCTGATATCTGAACTGGACAAACAATTCTATAACAGAGTCTACTTGAGAAAAGGTAGAATCAAAAGTGTGACAATACATCAAAACTGACACAAAAGCAGTATTTTATTGGAGACAGTTCATAGCATTTCATCAAATAAATTCATTTCATTCAATAATCTGCCATATTGTTTCTGGCAAAATTAATACTATTGTCAATATTTCCCTTGGAGAGGACCATGCTTTCAAAAAAATCTGAGTTGGATTTTTATGTTTAAAATATTCTACCATACCAAAAAGCAATCCCTAATCAGAAGAGAAACAAAGGGAGACAGATTTGTAGAAATTGATCTCCACTAGAAATAATTCATTGTCCATAATCTTTCAGGGTTGTGCTTTTACATGGGGACTTTTTTTGGGGAGGGGGGAAGAGGGCTGTTTCTCATAAATGTTTGCTGAAAACACACAGTATACCCTACTTCAGCGATTTTCAACAGGGGTGCTGCAGCACACTGGTGTGCAAGAATTTTTTAAAAAGTTTCATCCTCACCCAAGGATAGGTTCATCGATTTTCAGAGACAGAGTTTAAGTGGGAGAGAGGAAGAAACATCAATGTGAGAGAAACATTGATCAGTTGCCTCCTGTAGGTACCCTGACTGGGGACTGAACTCACAACCCTTTGGTGAACAATGATCCAAACAAATGAGCCACCCGGCCAGGACTGCAGCAAGAGTTTTTAAAACACACAATACCTGATTATTTATCAGGGGTACTGACCTCTTTTCCTTTACATTGTCAAATAAGAAATGATAACAGCCTGGCTGGTATAGCTCAGTGGATTGAGCAGAGGCCTGTGAACCAAAGGGTTGCTGGTTCAATTCCCAGTCAGGGCACACAAGAGGCAACCACACACTGATGTTTCTCTGTCTTACTTTCTCCTTCCCTTCCCCTCTATCTCTAAAAAAATAAATAAATAAAATCTTAAAAAGAAAAACAGCCAATACAACAATAGTTGTGTGGTATGAATGATTCAAAATTATACCTGTTTTTTTTTGTAGATCAGCAAAAAATATATTTTTTGGTGTGCCATGAGATGAAAAAAGTTGAAAATCACTGCCCTACTGTAACCAGTCAGTATTAATGAGGTATAATGAGGTGAATTGGTGGAAGAGGTGGTAACCAGCTGGACCACCCATGGTCTAGAATCTCTAGAACAGGAATGTTTGTGTTGGAGTAAGCCAGAGCTGAAGGGAGACACCTATAGCATTTGGAGAAAAGGACCAAGAATAGGAAAGTGTGAAAAAGATATAGGTGTCCCATCAAGGGACCAACAGAAAGGTGGTACTACCAGTCAAAGATAGTCCTGTGCTTTTCCTTGAGACTAGGTTACACTAAATGGGTTCTGCAGTTTTCACATAAAAATTGGATTGATGCTAGACAGTAAAATCAAAGTTTCCCTTCTTTGTTCAATAAACACTGATAGAAAACCTGTGTGCAAGGCAATCGGGCAGGTGTTAAAGGTAAAATGAAGCTGTCTAAGATGTAGTCCTGACTTGAAGGAGTAATCCAGCATTAGTCATCAGACCTTGCACTGTGTCCAAGGGGCCATATGGAGGGAAGAATCACTCTGGTTGGCAGAATCAAGAAAGGCATTCTCCAATTCTCTCTTCTTGGGTGTCAGCATGTCCTTTTGCCTTTATGTATCTGCTCAGTCTGCCTGGTTCCAGGCACTGGCTTATCTTCCTTATCTTTTTTGGTAGTGTGAGAAGTGAAAATTTGAAAGGATAAGATTTTGCCTCACTGGTGCTAACAAATGCATTTGGAATTGATATATTGTGGATGTGTTTACTCCCCCATGGTCCAGAAAGGTGGAAAAATTTTGGGAAAAGAGAGCTAAGATGGTTATAAGGCGTTTTAGTCAGAAGATGGGAGCAAAGGTACACCAACAAACAAATTCAGTATGTGGCTTAAACCAGATGATAGGGAGAGAGCACCAACACAGCCAAGGACTTCAAGAAGGTAGCTGGAAGCCCTCTGACAAATAGCTTAGTCTACAGAATAGGACAGCTAAAATCTTTTCCTATGATCTACTCAAGTTCAACCAGAGCATATGAAATAATGAATAACTAGAGAGTCTTAACTTTCTAGAAAATAGAAAGATGGAATAAACAAAGCACCCCCCCAAAAAGGTGAGGTTGGATGTCAAAGTGTAGAGAAAGCTTCTGAATATGTTCTTTAAGTTTTTTTGGGGTGCTTTGGTTTGTAAGCAATCAAGATGGAGAGGGAGGCTATCCCAAAGAGGAAAGTCTGTAGGAACCAGAGTAGTTGAGCCCAAGCATTCGTTATGCCTTTTGACCTAAAAAAAGAAAAGAAAAATTTAACTGTCAGAATTTTAATATTATGGTTTCATAGGAGTTACTGCCTTCTATTTTTTAAAAATAATACACTCCTTCTAACTACTTTCATTGGGTTTATTTTGCCATTTTCTACGGCATCTTAACTCAAATGCTTAGTTGATTTCTTTTAATTTTTCTTGCGCATTTAGGATGGTACACTCTTCCCTGAGAAAGTCTGGCCACTGCCTAGAGCACTGTATTATACCACTGTTTCTCACATGATTTTGATGAGTGGATAGAGTTAAAGTAACACTGGTATGGCTTCAGAGCAAGAAGAAAGTGTTTTGAAGAAATACCGTATGTGAATCTTAGCTTGGCCAACTAACCGCTGAGACCCTGGGCAAGTCACTCATTCTTTAGACAATTTCCTTGTCTAAAAAAATTGGAATAATGGTATTTAGCTCATCAAATTTCAGATAATTTATGAGATAATGGACACAAAGTGCTTAGTAAAGGGCTTGACATATAGTAATAATAAACACCTGTAACTAAACTACTTAAAACAAAGCTCAAAAGAAAATGACCCAATTGAAGTGAGTGATGTGCTACAGTTTCATCTGTATATAAATAAGTCTCACATGGATGACTTTTCATTGAAAACAAAATTAAAAAATAATATGTAAAAATGATACACAGTTGATCCTTGAACAATGTAGAGGCTAAAGGAACTGACTCCTCCACATAGTTGAAATCTGTGTATAACTTCTGACTTCTGCAAAATTTAACCACAGTTGGCCCTTTTTATTTGCAGGCCATAGGTCTCAGGAACCCTTGGAGATACAGAAAACAGAAGATGCTCAAGTCTCTTGTATAAAATGATGTAGAACAATGCAAACAGGCCCTCCACATCTGTGGATTCCAAACTGTGGACTGAAGACACTATTTTCTATCAGCAATTGGTTGAAACCACGGATGTGAAACCCATGGATATGGAGGGCTGACTGCATGTATTAAAAAAAATACCAAACATGTTCTTTAGGGGTCAAGGGCAATTTTCTACAATAACAAATTAAAGGAGAAAAATCATATGATAATCTTAATAAATGAAGAAGAAGCATCTGATAAAATTTCAAAATTCATTCTGACCTAAGATCTTAGCAAACCTAGAAATGTTAGAATGGAACTTCCTTATTCTGATAGTGGAGATCTACACAATTCTAGAAAAGACACGATACAAAATGCTACAAGCTTTCCCTTTGATCAGAAACAACGCAAAAATGCCTACTACCACCATTTCTAGTCACTACTGTATTGGAGGTACTAGTCAGTGCAATACAAAAAGAATCCTGAATAAAAGATATACAGAATTAGCCCTGGCTCATGTGGCTCAGTAGATTTAGTGCCGGCCTGTGAACTAAAGGGTTGCCAGTTCAATTCCTAGTCAGGGCACATGCCTGGGTTGCAGGACAGGTCCCCAGTTGTGGGGGTGGCACGTGAGAGGCAACCACACACTGATGTTTCTCCCCTTCTCTTTCTCCCTCCCTTCCTCTCTTTCTAAAAATAAATAAATAAAACCTAAAAAAAAAAAGATGTACAAAATTGAAAGGAAGAAATAAAACTGTCTATATAGTGTTACTTACAATAGTAAAAACTAGACTTAAAAGTCCATCACAATGGGAATTTGTTAAATACATAAATACATAAATATTGAGGTACATACACATATAGACTACTATGCACTAACAAAATGAATGAGACAAATTTATAGATATAGACATGGAAAAATAGGAATAAATGACAAGGAGAAAAGTTATGGAAGAGTGTGTGTGTGTGTAGCCACCCACATACAAAATGGTGGCTATAAAGCAAAACATATAGTCCAATCTTAACTCTGGTTAAAAGGAATTCACCAATTCATTTTTATTGCTGGATGGTGGGATGTGGGATGCTACATATACACAATATGACTTTACATATTAAGTCATTCACTTGAATTATTCATTCATTCATAATCTAGAAGAAATGTTTATTTTGTTTTATAGTGACCAACAATACATTCCAACATGTTTGACCATAAAGAAATGATTTCAAGACCAAAATAATGGTGACTGAACTTCTCCACATTTGTTCTACCTCCACCCTTCAAGAAATGGATAGGAGGATGTTAATGAGTCTTTTGGTTTTCATTAGAGGTTCTAAACCAAGAACAAAATAGGTGTCAGGTACTCCAACAATGTAAGTTGAGGGGCTGAACCACTCACCTTTCAGCCAAGATTTCACCCAGAGGCTGAAAGGGCCATTGAAAAAAGGCACTAGTGTGCTGTGGCACTTCCTATCAGAAGTGAAGCCCAAACAACAGCTTTAACAGAACCACTTGGAGACCATGACAAGAATCCCCTGGAATTTAAGGGAAGGGATTAACATCTGATTTAAAGTTGAAAGACTGGTTGGCTTGCCTGCTGGGTACAAGGCTGTACTGTGAACAGCATGCACTTGCAGATTCAGCCCAATGGTGGGATGAAGAAACTGTTACTGTGAGCCATACAGATTTTGTGGAAGGACACTGGATGTTGGTGAGCTTAAAAGGGACCTGGGCTTAGAGGCCTGACTGAATGGAAGAAGAGAATTCAATAAAAGAGAATTTTCCCCCAATCATAGATCACAAGGAGAAACTGCAATGGCACACTGTAGGATGTGTCTGAAGAAACCAGCAGGGGAACTGCAGAAGGCAGATCCCAAGTGATGAGTGGTTTTGCAAACACCCACCAGAGCCCCTCTGGAGGGAAGAGCCAACACTTGGTATGCAACATTCTCAGCACCCAGCTGCTGATCACAAGGCAGACTGTGCCCTGTTGCCCCTAACTGCTCCCACAACCTCAGGAGGCCACAAGCAGCTGCTAATGAATAGAAAAAGAGATGGAGAGGAGACATCAAATCCCCTCTCTTCTACACAGCAGGATCCTGAGCACCAGCTTGATGAGAGCAGACATTCTGAATAGATAAGAGTTTCCAGTTTTAGCCCTGGCTGGTGTGGCTCAGTGGACTGAGCATCGGCCTGTGAACCAGAGGGTCACTGGTTCAATTCCCAGTCAGGGCACATGCCTGGATTATGGGCCGGGTCTCCAGTGGGGAGTGCACAATAGGCTGCTGCACATTGATGTTTATCTCCCTCTCTTTAAAGAAAAGGAAAAAAAAGTTTCCAGTTTTAGTAAATTCATGGGACTATACTGGAAAATATCACAGGGAAAACCTACAGAACTGCTTCAGATTTCATCCAGGCGTAGGGTGGGAGACAGACAACAATCTATACAGTGAGTGTATTTGGAGAGGGGTGAGAAAGAATAAAGCTGGTTTCAGTTCCTCCCCTGGAAACTCTAGCTTGTTTAATCAACCAGAAGACAGAGTACTACCCATTTAAAGAACTTAGCAGTGTCTGGGATAGTGCGTACCCAATAAATATGAATTACTTTTATTAACAGAACATAGTAGTAATACAATACCATATTTTCCACTTTTAGCAGTAATACAGCAATAATAGAGGCAACAGTCTTGACCAGAAAAATATCAATTGCCAAGCAGTTTGGCATGACCATAACTATCTCTTTCATTACATCATACTTTCTGTATATGCTACATTAAGTTCAAACATAAAGAGAACCTTTCCTAGTACTCTCACACAGTATTAACCTACACTGGCATCTGCTGAGTGGCATTTAGTCAAGTGGCTTTTAACTTGCATTTACTACCCGTGGAGCTTGTGAAAATAACACAGTCCCATGTCTGAAGCAAGGCCGACCAGATCAGGATCTTGTGGGTCTGGAAATCAGGCTTGTGTGTTTCGAAGAAGCTCCTTAGGCAACTCAGTTGTGAAAGTAGGATTGAGAATCATCAGCCCAGTCAGTAAGTAAGCCTTTTCAAACTAGAAGGCAGCTTCCTAATCTTTGTTCTTGTTGGTGCAAATACAGAGAGGTTTTTTTGAAAAAAAAAAATAAGAAAAGTCATCTAAATTAAGTAACTAAACAATTTTCCCCTGTCAGTTAGGCTTTTGAGAATAATTAAGTTCCAATAGATCTAAAATTTATTAGGCTAACACAAATGAAATGAATTCATTCATTAAACATTTATTGACTACTCCCTCTGTGCTGGCTCAGTATTAGGTGTGGGGATTCAACTCTACCCTGAGAATGCTCTCAGCCTACAAGTACATGAATTATTTAAATGGGGCTACTCTCAACTTATATCAGATGCTAAGAGAAAAGTGACAAATACCTATTTAAAACACTTACTTGCACAATACCATGGCATACAAGGACTCTCCCACATGGATCAGCCAGGCAAGCCAATACCTGAAACAAAGTCAGCCCAGTTTAAGGTGAAGGTTATTTGCTGATGAATTCTAACAGAGAAACCTCAAAAAGAAGGTGCTTTAATGTGAACTAGCACCATTCTTAGATATCTAAAGGCAAATGCAGGCCTCCCAAGTCTACAGGGAGACCATAACTGCAGTGGTCCAATCCCATTGCTGCTGTTCTCCTTACCCATTGTGCAGGAGGGTGTGATGGTGGTCCACCAAGTACTGAGTGAAGATGCCCAGAGGCCCTAGGCTCTGATAAGGAATACTTTGAGGCCAGAAGACAACCCACTGAAAGAGAACCAAAGGCACAGAACACCTATTAGGTCCCTTAACTCATTGCATTTGAGAGAGGCTATGAAATAATCCTGATTCTACAACAGTAAGGAGAGAACAAAAAAAATTCTGAATTAAGTCATGTGGGGTTCCACTCTTGACTTCTATTTTCTGAAAAATATTCTAGTGGGAGATTTATGCTGAGGAAACTATGTGGTTATCAGACTTATTGCCCAGGTTGGATGACTTCTATTTTTAATGAATTCAACCAAAAGATTTTTTTATAAAGTTTATTAACAATTTTAAGAGCTTATGTGTCCTGGCTAGCTTCCTTACTGCACAAACTATGGCTTGGGCCAAATACCCATTTAATTTACAATCCCTTTCTCTTCTTTCATCTTTTCTACCTCTAAAACTGTGACTGATTCACTGCACAGAACTGGAAAATAAGTAAGATCAGGTTTGTTAAGTGCTAATAGCAACTACTTAATCACATACCAACTTTCCCTCTGTCAATTAGGCTTTTGAGAATAATTAAGGCCCAACAGATCTAAAATTTATTATTCCATACAGATTCCAGCCAAGAGCAGTACTACCTCTCCCATTATAGTGTTACACACCTAAAATTTAAATAAAGCATAAAACCAAGTCATCCTCCCAAACCAAGAAGAATGGAATGGGCAGCACCCACCAGCTCCACAATATCCCAATATGAAGCCACCAAAGCTTCACTCTATTTATATCCTAACTACTCAGAGATGCAGACTCAAAGAACAGAAGTGCACCTTTGAAATTTTTCAGTTCAACACCTCCACTTTACATATGGGGAAATTAGCACAAAGATGGTCAGATTCCACAACAAACAACCATTTGGACAAAACACTTCTAATCCTGTGTCCAGGATATACCAGGAAATATCCAAATAGTTTTGCCTTCATTCAAAATTATACCAAGTCAGTCTCCAACCGACTTTTCCAGTTTTGCCCTTTGTTTTTTAAATGAACTCTGTCAGGCAGACAAGAGTTGCTCCTCCTCTCAGTAGAGATCCTCTGCCTTCTTGGTTCCATATCCGTGCCATAACATTTATATCCTCTCTATTCTTTCTTACCAATTAAATCCTACTCATTCTTTAGGTTTATCTCCATTCCCTAACCAATTCCAACTGCCTCAAACATTCTCCTTCAGAAGCCCTATCCTGACTTGGCAACCCTACGGCAGTGTAACCTGGTTTCCTCGCGGAGTTCTGAGACTGAGCTAAAACGCAGTAACCGTGAGCAAACAAAAAGGCAGAGGCACTATAAAGTAGAAATTGGGCTGCAAGGCTATTGAACTTCCGCTTAGCGAAGTAACCTTGGCAACCTCCACCAGCCCAAGCACGGGACGACACTCCCCGGGAGCCCCTGGCCCTGCGAGAGCCTGGCGAGCCCAAAACAGATGCCCCGCCCCTTCCGACGCCTCACCGCGAGATATCCTAGCCCGAGGAAGGTGACCAGCAAGGGCAAGGGTCTGCCTGTACGGAAGTAGGCAGTGGCAGCCTTGCCGGCCTCTGACTTTGCCACCACCATTTTGAAAGATATGGACACTGAGCCGTGGGGTGGAGAGCAGTACCTGCTCCCGCCCTCACACAAGAAAGCCTGAGTAGCTGGTTTTTCAGGGCTTCCTGCGTCGGCTAAAGACGCGAACAGATCAGTGCGCCTGTGACTTTGTCTGGAATTTAGTCTCCTTCCGCAGAGAGCGCGAGGGTGCTAGATTGCGTCTGCGCGACCAGTCCTCCCTGAAGGCCCGTATCTTGCGTTGAATGAGGCGCTTGCTCCCTTCACTGCCTTTACCGTGTAATAGCCAAAGGAGAGGGTGATGATGGTGAACCAGAACAGACTGCCCCTCTGGAAGTAGGCTTTATTGTCCGCTGCCAACCCCATCGCTGTAGCACATTCCGGGGAATGCGAGGTAGGGTACCGCTTCCCTCGGAGATGGAGGCGGGGTGGGGGCGGGGCCTGGCCGGCGCTCCTCCCTCCCTCTCCCTTCCTCCTCCCTCCCTCTCTCTCCCTCTTCCCTCCCGGGTGGGAGAAGGTTCTGTGGATTGCAACGAGAGACATTCTTGCTGGATTCTGGGCCGGTGGGCTGGACATCATCTGCAGGGTAGAACCCCCTCCCCCTCAGTGTCACTTTGCCGCATTTAAGATGGAGGTGTGGAAATAGGTGCTGTTTTACACATGTCTAATAAATACGAGTCTAATTTTTGAATTTAAGCTCGGCTGGCTCTGTGAGGAACAACGCTGTTCCTTTAGATCAGACGTGTGGAACATGGGGCCTGCGGTCAGCCCATACATAAATGTTTCCTCAGTGACGATTAGGCAATGAGGACTGTACAGAGTGATCCCTGCAAAACTGGAAGATAACTCACCTTCAGTGAATATTGTTAATCTCGTTTTTGCTGAGCCCAATCCCACAATCATCAGAAAGGGTCAGAAGGCAATAAAGGAAAGATGGCCCAGTTTTGTGAAACTCATTTCTCTAGGACAAGCCGAGTAACATTCTATTGTATATTTGTATTACATCTTCTTTTTTCAGTCATCTGTCAATGGACTCTCAGGTTGTTTCCATATCTTGGTTATCGAAAGTGATGCTGCATAGGGGTGCATATGCTTTTCAAATTAGTGTTTTGGGTGAATACTCAGGATAAATACTCAGAAGTGGAATTTCTCGGTTCTTCTTGTTCTTGTAACAACCTTTGCTTTAAAGTTTTTTTTTCTGTTGTAAGTATTGCTATCCCAGCTTTTTTTTGTTTCCATTTTCCTGAAATGTCTTTTTCCGTCCCTTTACTTTCAGTCAGTGTTTGTGTTTTGATCTGAAGTGGGTTTCTTGTAGGCAGCATATGTATGGGTCTTGTCTATATCTTCTGAAGAAATACTTTAGTCCTTTGACCATTTTAAAATGCAGTTGGGCCCTGGCTGGTGTCTCCATATTGTCTCCCTTCCCACCTTCCCTCTGGTCACTGTTTGTTTTTTCTTTGGCTAGTGTCTCCGTATTGTCTCCCCGCCACCTCCCCTCTGGTCACTGTTCGTTTTTTCTTTATTTCAATGTCTGTGGTTGTATTTTGCTTGCTTGTTTGTTTTGTTGTTTTGGTTCTACTTATAGGCGGGGTCATATGGTATTTGTCTTTCACTGCCTGGCTTATTTCACTTAGCATAATGCACTCCAGATCCATCCAAGGTGTTGTGAAGGGTAGGAGCTCCTTCTTTCTTTCTGCTGCATAGTATTCCATCATGTAAGTGTACCATAGTTTTTTGATCCACCCATTTACTGATGGGCACTTAGGTGTTTTCCAGCACTTAGCTCTTGTAAATTGTGCTATGAACGTTGGGGTGCATAGGTTCTTATGGATTAGTGTTTCAGGATTCTTAGGATATAGTCCCAGCAATGGAATTGCTGGGTCAAAAGGCAGTTCCATTTTTTGTTTTCTGAGGAAATTCCATACTGTTTTCCACAGTGGCTGCCCCAGACTTTGTTCCCACTAACAGGATACTAAGGTTCCCTTTTCTCCACAACCTCACCAGCACTTATTGTTTGTTGATTTGTTTATTATGGCCATCCTGATTGGTGTAAAGTGGTATCTCATTGTGGTTTTAATTTGTGTCTCTCTGATGCTGAGCATCCTTTCATATGTCTCTGGATCCTCTGTATGTCCTCCTAGCAGAAGTGTCTGTTCAGGTCCTCTGCCCATTTTTTAAAGAAGATTTTATTTATTTTTAGATAGAGGGGAAAAGAGGGAGAAAAAGAGGGAGAGAAACATCAATGTGTGGTTGCATCTCACGCGATCTTTACTGGGGACATGGCTTACAACCCAGGGATGTGCCCTGACTGGGAATCAATTTGGCACCCCTTTGGTTCACAGGCCAGTGCTTAATGCACTAGCCACACTAGCCTGGGCCCTTTGCCCATTTTTTAATTGGGTTATTTTCTTCCTGATGTGGAGTCGTGTGAGTTCCTCATATATCTGGGACATCAAACCCTTGTCCAAGGTATCATTTGCAAATATATTTTCCCAGATGGTTGGTTTCCTTTTTATTTTGCTGTTTTCTTTAACTGTGCAAAAGCTTTCTATTGTTTAAATATATTTTATTGATTGTGCTGTTACGATTGTCCCATTTTCTCCCCTTAATCCCTCTGCCATGTATACGCCCCCACCTTCACTCCCTCCCCCTTAGTTCATGTCCATGTGTCATACATATAAGTTCTTTGGCTTCTACATTTCCTATACTATTCTTAACCTCCCCTTGTCTATTTTGTACCTACCAATTATGCTTCTTATTCCCTGTACATTTTCTGCTATTCCCCCTCTTCACTGATAACCCTCCATGATGATCTGTTCCTGTTCTAGTTGTTTGATTAGTTTGTTTTTATTTTTATATTCAGTTTTCTATAGTTGTGAGTTTGTTGTCATTTTACCATTCACAGTTTTGATCTTCTTTTTCTTAGGTAAGTTCCTTTAATATTTCATATAATAAGGGTTTAGTGATCATGAAATCCTTTAACTTAACCTTGTCTGGGAAGCACTTTATCTGCCCTTCAATTCTAAATGATAGCTTTGCCAGATAGAATAATCTTGGATGTAGGTTATTGCCTTTCATGACTGTGAATACTTCTTGCCAGCAAGGTTTCTAATGAGAATCAGCTGATAGTCTAATGGGAACTCCTTTGTAGGTAACTGTCTCCTTTTCTCTTGCTGCTTTTAAGATTCTCTCCTTATCTTTATTCTTGGGTAATTTAATTATGATATGCCTTGGTGTGTTCCTTCTTGGATCAGACTTCTTTGGGACTCTCTGAGCTTCCTGGATTTCCTGGAAGTCTATTTCCTTTGCCAGAATGGGGAAGTCCTCCTTCATTACTTTTTCAAATAAGTTTTCAATTTCTTGTTCTTCCCCATCTCTTTCTGGCACTTCTGTGATTTGGGTTTTGGAATGTTTAAAGTTGTTCTGGAGATTCCTAAACCTCTCCTTATTTTTTTGATTTCTTATCTCATCATTCTGTTCCAGTTGAATGTTTCTTTCTTCCTTCTGCTCCAAACTGTTGATTTGAGTCATGGTTTCCTTCCTGTCACTGTTGGTTCCCTGTATATTTTCCTTTATTTCACTTTTCATAGCCTCCACTTTTTCCTCTATTTTGCAACCATACTCAACCATTTCTGTGAGCATCCTGATTACCAGTGTTTTGAACTCTGAATCTGATAGGTTGCCTATCTCTTCATCACTTAGTTGTATTTTTTCTTTAGCTTTAATCTCTTGTTTCATTTAGGCCATTTTTTTTTGTATCGGTGTGCCTGTTACACTGTAAGTGGCAGAGCCTTAGGTATTCACCAGGGTGGGGCAGCCCACATTGTTGCACTGCATTGCTATATCTAGGGGAGTGCTCCGAGAGCTGAGCAAGGGGAGTGCCCTTGCTCAGCTCTCGGCCAACTTCCAGTCACTTCCTCCACTACCCACAAGCAAATTGGGCCCTTCTGGTGCTGATCCCTGGGTGGGTGGTTTTGTGTACATTCTAGAACCCTATGAGTCTCTTCAATGAACTTTCCTGTGTCGTTGGGTGTTTCTCCCACCACTGCAATCCCTACAAGTTTTCAGTCAGAGGTTTTGAGGCTATTTTCCCTGCACTGGAACCCTGGGTTGTGTGGTCTGTCTTGCTCCCCAGTTTTTCCTCCCTGTTTATCCATATGGAAATGTGAGACTACCTGGTCTGTCTGCTGCCTTGCAGCAAGTCCTCTCCACCCTGGCTGCCCATCTCCACCCCTCCTACTGGTCTGGATGAATGTTTGTTCTTTAACTCCTTTGTGGTTGAACTTCCATACAGTTCGATTTTCTGGCAGTTTTGGTTGTTTTTTGTTTTTAAATTTGTTGTCCTTCTTTTGGTTGTGCAAGGAGGCACAGTGTATCTACCAATGCCCCTAATCTTGGCCAGAAGTCCTCAGGAGCTTTCTATTTTGATGAAGCCCCATTTGTTTATTCTTTCCTTTATGTCCCTTGCTCTAGAGGATACATCGGTGAAAATAGTGCTGCATGGAATATCTGAGATTTTCCTCTCTATGTTCTCCTCTAGGACTTTTATGGTGTTCTGACTTATATTTAGGTCTTTTATCCATCTTGAGGTTATTTTCGTATATGGTTTAAGTTGATGGTTGAGTTTCATTTTTTTGCATGTATCTGTCCAGGTCTCCCAACACCATTTGTTGAAGAAGCTATTGTTACTCCATTTTAGCCTTCTGTCTCCTTTGTTGAATATTAATTGACTATAGAGACTTGAGTTTATTTCTGGACTCTCTATTCTGCTTCATTGATCTATGTATCTGTTCTTATGCCAGTACCAGACTGTTCTGATTACTGTGGCATTGTAACATAGTTTGATGTCAGGTTTTGTGATCCCTCCTGCTTTGTTCTTCTTTCTCAAAATTGCTGCAGCTATTCAGGGTCATTTATGGTTCCATATACATTTTTGAAACATCTGTTCTATATCTGTGAAATATGTCATTGTTATTTGAATAGAGGTTGCATTGAATCTATAAATTGCTTTGGGTAGTGTGGCCATTTGATAATGTTAATTCTTCCAATCCATGAACACTGTATATGCTTCTATTTGTTTGTGTCTTCCTTAATTTCTTTCTTCAGTGTTGTATAGTTTTCTGAGTGCAGGTGTTTTATTTCCTTGGTTAGGTTTATTCCTAGGTACTTTATTTTTCTTGTTGCCATATCGAACGTTTTTTTGCCCTAATTCCTATTTCTGATATTTCATTGTTGGTGAACAAAAATGTCTTCAATTTCAGAATATTGACTTTGTATTCTGCTGTTTTGCTACATTCACTTATTAGGTCGAGTAGTTTTTTGGTGGAGTCAATAGGATTTTCTGTGTACACTATCATGTCATCTGCAAACAATGACAGTTTTTCTTCCTACTTTCCAATTTGGATGCCT